GCGATTTCTTAATCTCAAGAAATTGCAATTTTAAGATTTGCATTCAGGTGATGCAATTCTTTTGACCGCCACTGTATTTAAATTTTTGTATCAAGTCTTATTTTTTACTATTGCATTTAAAGTTGCTGGGTTACCTAAAGGTATAGCGGGTCGTCTACTTCAATGAAGTTTCATTAATTATGATGATATACTTTGCACGTTTACATTCATTAAGAGCAAAAAACAAAAACAAAAACAACGATGACAACGATAACTTCTAAACCGAATCCTTTCAGGATAGCCAGTTTTCACTGGATTCCTTCTTTCTTGATGTTCTTTTTTTGAATTCCTTTTTTTAGTAAAAGAATAGAAGAAATACTTGGAGAGATTCCTTCAATGAATTTGGTAAAACCAAAAATAGTTTTTATATTTTCTTTTAAGATTATTAACGATTCATCGTAAGCTATGTGAGAAGATTATGAAGTTAATCCAATCAGAAATTATATGGTATTCAACAGTCTTATTATTAGTTATAGTTGTTATTTTTATTTTTATTCGTATTGTCATATTAATTTATATAAATCCTATTCGTTATATTTATTTTTTATGGAAAAAGTTAGCATTTAGAGCTTTTGTATGAAAACCTCAAAAATCCGCCCTGAATAAAGAATAAGATGATGAATCTTGGAAGAGACCTTGTTTAATAAAAATTCCATCCTTACCTTTATCGTGATTCCATATAGACTTGACACAAAAGAATCGTATTAAGTAAATTGTTGCCTAAATCTTTCTTAGAATGGACCTGAATTAGAAAATTATTTGTTAATCTGGTTTTCAGTTCAAAAATAGGTATGGGACACTCGGCAAATTTTGATGCCAAGTGTTTTGATGGTCAGGTGGTCAGGTGGTCGGCAATTGTAAAAATAACACTCAACATTATATAACATATAAAGCATATAAAGCATATCAACGTAAGAACGTTTATTATTGTTTTTCAATTTGCCGAGTGTCCCGTATATTGTGAAAACAGCTGTAATTTCTTTCTTTTTTTATTGATATATTTTTAAAAAAAGCTACTTATCAGACTGAAAAGGTGAAATGTAAGAAATGGGTTTTTTTGCAAGAGAAATGGGTTTTACGCAAAACTAAATTTATCAAATAAAACAGTCGCCGTGGTAAAACTGCGTAAAAATATCATAAACTTTATGTAAAATAGTTCTCCTTAGTAATTTTAAAACTTCAAAATTTTTTTAAGGGTCGTTTAACATCCTTAGTTTTTACAAATGTGAGATTGATAAAAAAAAAAATACAATTACAGACAGTAAAACTTTTCGTGACAAAATTTTTTATCCCGGCTAATCAATTCAATTTAGTCAGATGACAAATAATCAGCTGATTTTTGATATTACAGCAATATTTTGAGTGCGATTTATTTAAAAATTTTATTTAATTCTGAATAGACAAATCCGCCCATATGTTCAAACCAATAAGCAAGGCAAGCAAATTATCTAATATGTTTTTTAATTAAGCAAATCAAATTATCTTAAAAGAATTCACCCTGCTGGCCCAGCAACCCAATGAATTTTTGTAAGATAATTTATAACAAAGCGAAAAAATTTTGCTGGCCCAGCAACCTGAATCTTTTTTTGCTTTTGAGAAAGAAAAAGAACTATTTTAAGAGGATAATAAAAGTAAAAAAAAATACTTTGCTGGCCCAGCAATTCCAGTATTTATTTTACTCTTATTACCAGAAAGGAATGTGAATTATATAAAAAAAATTACATGTATCAATCTTTGACTCTCCCAAATGATTTAAAAGTTGTTCTGTTGTAACATATTCTTGTTTAAATGAGGGTTCACAAATACTGCTTCTACAATCTTTCGCATCATGGCCAATGCACTAACATTTAACACAGGAACCTAAATATGATGTTTCAATATTCGGACGTAAGAATATACATGGCAAGTTTCCTCGTATATACCAAAAGGAGAAATCCAGTTGTTTTTCTTTAACAAGGTTTAATACGCTTTTGGTAGTTGTATTTTGCCTATTTAATACACATAAAAAAGGAAAAGTTAATATAACACGTTAGCCTATCTATTATGCTCAAAGCATTTATATTTGATAAAACTGAAGTGTGGGTCTGACTGTATGAGCAACGGTATTGATACGCGATGTTTCACCTAAAGAAGATTGTGAAGTAGTCTTTTGAGAGTTTTTGTAGTAGGAGAACATGGTGAACTTGCTTCTTTATTGTTTTTGAAATGTCAGCTGTAAGCGTTTATATTATGAACGAAGTTGTTATAGTTAGTCTAGGAAAATAAACCTTTGAACTTGTCGTTGTGTTTTTGTGCTATTCTTGTTCTTCTAAAATAATATTATTTATTGAATGAAAGTTGAGAAGTTAAACACAAAAATTTTTGTGTAAATATTTTTTTGGGAATTGAGATTAAATATATTAGAAAAAAGTGAGTTTTGCAAGTGCAAGTGAACATCACGTAATTAAAAACTAAATTTGGTAATGATAAGAATTGCTCCTAGTTGTGATAATCCCGTTGCTGCATAATAAGTAAATCAATTTGTCCAAAAACTTTTGTAACACACTGTATCAGAGATATAATTTTTTACACAATTTTTTTTTTTTTTTTTTTTTTTTTTTTTTTACATTTTTACAGCTTAGAGAACAGTTAAATTATCTATATAATCAAATTTTGAGTGTTTTGATGTCCATTCAATTAACAAAAATTTATGAGCAAAGGATGAATTTTGATTTGCGTATTCTGCTTGGAGGTTAATCATCAATTATGTTTGATTTATTGTTTCATTTATGGTTTTAATTTTTAAATAAATTTGCCTTTACTTCTTATAGGTATTGAGCCTTTCTTGGATAAGCTTGCGAATTCTATGAGCGATGAACCGGTGTTCATGTTAGGTTCAATGTGTTAGAATAGCAAAGAACTACGAGATAAAGTTGGAAATATTTTGCAAATAGTAAAGTCGAAGGTATTTATAATATTAAAATTTTTATTAATTTTATTAACAATTTTGTTAATTATTTAACTCCCTAACTGTTATAGGACCTTTTATATTCCAAGTTAATAACAAATTTTAAGCTAATAACCTTGTTGAGACTTAAAAAACACAGTCTTCATTCAGCAGGTATGATCGATATTCCTAAATGCTTTTATCGTCTAATATGTTTTATTGACAATTTAATCTTTCTTGTAAAGATCTTCACTTGGTTTTTAACATTGTAAATGGTCCTTCAACTTTCGTTCGGTTGAATCATGGACTCCAATATGTCTTCCAAAGTTTAACAATAAAGGATTCCTCCACGCATACGTGTGCTATATTACCGCAAACGTATGTCTTCTTTTGATATCTCCAGAGAAGGATAAATTTTTGAATTATCTAATGCCAAAAATACAATAGTTGAGGTAAATTCACTCTCGCATTCTTTAAGATTTCCATATACAGTAGTTGGTCATTTATATGTTTTGATTTGTTTGTTTTTAGCAACTCACCGCTTACGATGCATAGAAGCACCTTACAAAGTGAGGGTTATTATATAGGTATTTTTTTTTGATTCAAATAATCCGATTCAGATTAATTAATTATAGGCAAATCGTACATTTATTAATTTTTTTATACCTTGTTTACGACATTTTATATACCAATCAAAGACGTGTTTACAATACACATCACCTGCATTTTTGGCATCATATAATAATCCTCGTGAGAAACGAAGGTATAAAATTTATGCAATTACATTTATTTAAAGAGAGATTCCCGAAATAATTTTTTTATATTATTATTTTAGGTTGTTTAAATTATATAGATATATACATGATCGTATGCACTCACGTGTTCGACCACTAAAGTACATTATTATGTGAGTCCGTCAGAAACTATATTAGGATGGGTATGTTTGTTATTATTTTTTTTTTTTATTTCTTTTCTTTTATAACTAGTCATCTTAATTATAACATAATTATCTTTTTTATTAATCAAAGGTAACAGCAACATTTGAATTATACGCTGCGTTTGGTCCATTAATATCGAAACAACATTGACAAATTTTTCCCTCGTATTATTGAAATGGATCAAAAAAGAGGAGGAAAATTTATTTATCATGAATTCGCCAGTCTTTTAATGTTCATCAACCAGACATTTATGTTTATTGATTAACTTTTTTGTATTATATATTTATTTATTACGGAAGATTGATTAATTTACTTTTTATTGCGGTAGAAATATATAGAAATATAACATAATAATATAACATTACTAAATATTAATGCTTAATATTACATTCAAGAGAAATATTTTCAATGAAAAACTTATAAATAAATCATGTACCACGCTTAACATAATCTTTTCGAGAGGTCTTTTCTTGTTACCTTGCAACAATGTTTAATAGTTTAAAATACGTTTAAGATAATTCATATTCCAAAATTTAACAACAGCTTCATGTATAACAAATTTGTCAAAGCATTTAATGATTAAAATGCAGCAAACTTGCCCTCACTAATTCTTGTGTAAAATATGTTTATCTTTATCACGCACTTAACTATTTTTTTTTGTGTCATCATCATATAACTCTTATATAGTGCCCATAAATACCTAATCATTTATTAATTATTAATTACATGTAATTTGTAATAAAATTTAGAAATTGAAAAAAAAAATTTTATACATGTTAACGCGTCCGTTCGTCGATGAAAAATGTATTGCAATTTTGATTTTTTTTTATAAAGATATACTCTACTTTAAGCTGTGGTGAGTTATATTTTGGATAATAGAATGTACAACTACCTTCAATTCCCAAACCACGCTTTTATAAAAAATAAACTAGTTATATTAAGCATTAAATTTACATGATTAAAAATACAAATGAAAGTTGGGAAGGTATCATAGATATGATATTAGAGAAAGTTTTTTATGATGCGTTTATATAAGTAAGAACTGTATTCATTTAAAGGTAAATAAATAAAAGGATTAATATCGAATACATCCTTGGTTGTTGTCTTCTGTTGATGATAACATTTCATTTGGGGAAGTTCTTTCGTGCTGATAAAATATCCAAGCAGCTATAAACTTGGATTTTCCAACAACACGACTAGGTCTTTTTTCTGCAATTGATATTTCTGGCGGTGAGGATATTATGATGTTTGGTAATATTGTAGATGAATTTCGAATGTATGATGTACGAATATTTTGGAATTTGAAACATCAGTGCAACAGTTTATGTTGGATGGTTGTTTTCGTTCAATTTCTTTAACATATTGTTGATTTGTAACATCATCTTTGTATGAGGGTGGAAGTGGTAAAAGGTTCAATACAGACTGTTGATTAGACGATTCTACTGTATAACACCATGTTAAAAAATTATGCGGCAAATGCGACATCTGTAAAAAAAAATCCGTATCATACGATTTGTATCTCTACATTAAAATGAGTATTAATAAAAAAAATATATATATTGTTGCGTAAGAAGTGGCGAGTAAACTTTATTCCCACGAAATAAAGAATTAATTATATTTATAATTTCTTTTAAAGTTGAAATATAAAAGAAAAGTCGGTAAAATAATAATACATTTCGAGAATAAATAATATCGCCGAAACCTGATCGCAATATACAATAAATTTAAACGAATAGATTTCCGGAGAGCTGCGCAAAAATCTATTACTTTTTTTTTATCTAACCTAACCTATGTAATATCAGGTATGGTGCCATTGCCGGTGTTAGTTGATGCTGAAATCCGCATTCCTCCTATTTATTATGATTATTAATGCCTTACTTCGTGTTTTCTTTATTAAAAAGTATAAAAAGATCGCCTGGCAAAACCTGAGGTCTCGGCAGGTGGCAAAATCGAAACTAGTTTTGACATTTACAAAATTTTTTAGAGGCAAAATCGCTAAATTTTCGGGTGCATGTTTCGACGATGGCAAAATTTTAACAGATGCCATACGTGACCCGTCTAAACTGTCAAATTTATTTTCAAAAGTATCGAACTTCCAAATTGAAATTAAGGTTTTTCTAAGATTCGTAAATAAAAATGATAAATTTTTGTGATTTTTTATTTTTGACATTTTTAATAATTTATTTTACAAAAAAGTTTCGAAATTGCGTTTCCATATATGCCTATAAATAATAAATCATTCTGAATACCTACTACGGTACAATCAGTTTGTTTTTTTGAACATTCCAGACGAAAATTTTTTTGAGAAATTTTCTTCATCTTGTGGTTCTATTATCCGAAAAATTACCTTTCCCGACCTGAACTAATCTAACCTAATTTGATCAAATTATTTATGCTTTTTCTGTAAAAAAAATTTGTATGCGAAATGATATGGAAATTTTAATTTGATGATTAATTACAGTTGCACGATTAATTATACTGAAAATCAATTTTCCAATCTTTTTTTTTTCTTTTTTTAACAAAAAAAAACACTTTTATTTTATTTAACATACAACCTTATTTTTTAAATACTTAAACTTGTAAGAACTCTTACTAAATGTAATTATTTTTATTTTTGTAAATTTTAA